AACCTACTAGTATATAGAATCAAGGCATCCTTAGCTTCTTAGGCTTTTCGGAGCATTGTATAAGTGGCATTCCAACGAGTCACAACATCAAGACATAACTTGCCATTAAAAACAGAGTCTAACTCAGACAAAGCATTCTCAAATTGAGTTAATATAGAATCAGAAGCATCAATATATTTAACAACCTCACGCAATTTTTCAACACTTTCATGAACTTCTTTTAAACCTCTTTGAACAATAAGATTTAAAACATGAGCTGAACATCGAACATGAAAGAATTTCCCATTACAAGGAAGAGGAGAGCATTGCATTAATTCTTTTTTCAAATATTCAACCATAACATCCATAGAACGAGCATTATCAACAGTCATTGAAAAAGCCTTACCTTCAAGGTTCCACTCTTTAATCAGTTTAAACACAAACTTTCCAACCTCAACACCAGTATGGGGAGGGCCACAATATCTAAAATTTAAAATTTTAGACCTAAGAGACCAACTGTTATCAACATAATGAGCAGTCAAAGTGAGATAGCCTCGGTTAGTACATGCAGTCCACAAGTCACATGTAAAGCTAACTCTACCAGAAACATTAGCCAAAGACTCATGCAACAAGGATTTATATTTATCATGCTCAGCAATAACATACTTTAACATAGTTTTTCTACAAACATGCTGCACCTTAGGATTCAAATATGCATGAAGTTCTCTAAGATATTCATGCTCTACAATATTTAAAGGATATGCATGGCAGATTATAGCTTTAGCAAACTTTTGTAAATAAGTTTTTTGATCAAATTGTGATTCGTTACCGGACTGGACACCATGCTTTTCCAAACATGCATTAATATGAGCTCTACAAGTTGAAGTACCCGCTCTACCAGGTGCTTTATATTCTTTGCCACACAAATTACAACGAGCATAATCTACCTTTTCATTACCTATCGTCTTTTCAAAAAAAGTGTAATGCTTCCATATACCTGCGGTTCTTTGACGTTTATTAACAGAAGGATTGATAGTGCCGGTATTACTAGCATCATCAAGCGGGACAGAGGCAGCTTGAGAGCTAATAGTATCAAAATTTGATTGCCTCTCATAGTCAAATTCATCATACTCTCGAGACATGACTGAAACAAAAAAAAAAAAAAACAGCATTTATAAGTACCAAATTAAGTGACAGATTCTACTAATAGTGAGCAATTAAGCATGCATTGTCTCATGTGACTAACATATGTGTACATTTTAAGTACTAACTTTAAGCCCAACTAAAAGAATTCTTGACATAAACATTCCATTCTAATCAAAGCAGTCAAAAATGAATTATTGACATAAACATTCCAGGGCAAGCTCGGTGAAGTGAACAAGGAATGCATAAGTTAACTAGACTTTCCCGCACAGTTTGACTAGGTATCCAGTTACTGAAGATTCTATCATTCTTCACCAATCATATATCCACAAGATAGCCAAAATACAGACCATCAAAAGTCCACCCTTGCTTTCTGAAACTCAGATAAGAAACATGCAAGTGCTTTTAGACAACATCAGGACAGACCCCCACTGATCCAAGTAATTGTACAGATCAGCTGCTATAAGAAGATAGCTAGCTTGGAGTGTGAAAACAAACGGCTTAATGTCTCATTGCAAGCAAGATGCATGTTGCATACATGAAAATGCAGTACATTATTGGTTCTAGATACCTGCAGCTTATAACTGCTATTGACTCTCTACAAGAAAACAGAAAAAAGAAAGGTCTCAATCACTTTGGGACCTTAGACAATCAAATGAATTTGACACCACAGACAAGCAAATAAGAGAGGCAAATGGCTTTAGCTAGTTCTCATAGAAGATATAAAGCAAAGGAAATATGCAATCTCTATGAAGATTTATAAGAAGTAAACTCAAACATAGACTAGAACAACAACAACAACAATAATCAAATACAAAAACAGAAAAACTGTATTAAAAAAAAAACGAAAAGGAAAAAGTAATTACCTTTGAGTAGTCTTTGACGGCTTGAAGGAGATTTGAAGATGGAGAACTGCCTGAACTGGAGATCAAAAGAAAAAATCAAGAACTTGAAGTAAAAAAAAAAACCGAAACGAAAACGAAAAAAATCGAAAAAATTAACAACAAAATTACCTTGAGGTTTGACGGCTTGAAGGAGAGGAAGAATTGAAAAAAAAAAACGAGAATGGAAAAGTCAGAAATAAGAAGTTTAGATCCAAAACAAAAATGAAACGAAAATAAATACCCTAAATAAAAAAAAGTAAAAAACCGAAACGAAAACGAAAAAAATCAAAACGAAAACAACAAAAATTAACAAAAAATTACCTTGAGGTTTGACGGCTTGAAGGAGAGGAAGACAAAAACAAAAAAAACGACAATGAAAAAGTCAGAAATTAGAACTTAGATCCAAAACAAAAATGAAACGAAAACAAAAACCCTAAATAAACAAACCGAAACAAAAACGAAAAAAATCAAAACGAAAACAACAAAAATTAACAAAAAATTACCTTGAGTTTTGAACTTTTGACGGCTTGAAGCCTTCAAATTGAAGGAGAGGAAGATTTGAAAAAACAAAAAAAACGAGAATGTAAAGCGAGAAATCAGAAATGTAGATCCAAAACACAAATGAAACGAAAACAAAAACCCTAATTAGGATTTTTAAAAGTTGAGAAGTTGAGCTTGAGATTCTTGAGAATTTCAGAACGAATGAGTGAGATGAGAACTGAGAAACTGAAAAGTTAGAGAGAGAAACTGAGAGTGAGTAAAACGGCTGAATGGCTGATAGAGTGGGCTTGAGATTCTAGGTTTAGGTTTTACTTGTTCATTTGATCAACCGTCCATATTCAATCTCAAGGATTCTCAACATCTAACCGTTCATTTTTTTTTTATTTTTTTTTTGTAGATTCCAGAATTTTCATCTAGATCTAACGGTCTAGATTTTTCTTTGTGCTTTTCTAGGTCTTTTTGACCGTTTTTTTTTAATTATTTATTATTATTATTATTATTTTGAAAGATTATTATTATTATTGTTAGTATAATTATTTGCTAATATTATTATTATTACTAGTTTACTACTACAATACTACTATTATAGTATTATTATAATTATTATTACTATTATTATTATTATTTTTATTATTATTATTATTATTATTATTATTATTATTATTAGTTTATTACTTATAAGTTATAAATTGTAAGAAACGCAAATGTTTCAAAATTGAAATTGATTCAATACGACATAGTTAATGACTTAATGAGTTAATGCACATCAATATCTGACATCTCTATATGTATATTATATATATATGTGAGTCTGTGACTGTATATCAGTATATATAATAAACTAATAATAACTTAATAAGTAATAACTAATAAAGTAATGAAAATCTAACCATTGTTTTTCATGGGCATTCAATCTAACCGTTGTATATTTGACTATTCGTACATTAGTATTGCATAATGATTTCATCACCACTTTAATTAGTGATTTCGTGATTTCGTCCATTTAACTTATTAAGTTGTTTGAGTTAGTAATCTAAATAAAGTAACAAACTAAATAACGAATCCATTTAATCTCGTGTAAGTTATAATTTATAAGAAATGCAATGTTTGGAAATGGAAATTGATTCAATACGATATTGTTAATGTATATGTAATTATAGATTAATTATTATGTATATCATATCGTACGAATGTACGGTTGGTATCATTATCATACTATCATAAGTATCATTGCCTCATTGAATTATTGGTATGTACTACAATCGATAAACATATTTACATATCTGATTATTAAAACTTAAAAGTTTAAAACACTTGTTGATCAATCTAATTGAATACTTGTACATTCTTAATTATCGATTTATCGTATTATAAGTATCAACTCATTAAATCATGGTCATGACGCGATCTTTAAAACAATCATGAATTCATGACCCAAACCGCTTATAAACCGAACCGACATGATCCAAACCGAACCAATTGAACTATGTAAACCCTCCACTAAACCGGCCCATTTCAAACTGAACCGACATGATTCGCACCGTTTATAAACCGAACCGATATTGACCCGGGTAAACCCGCCCTAAACCGACCCATTTCAAACCAAACCGGCTTGATCCAAACCGTTTGTAAACCGAACTGACATTGACCCGGGTAAACCCGCCCCCTAAACCGACCCGTATCAAACCGAACCGACATAATCCGAATCGTTTATAAACCGACCCGCTTATGACCCAAACCGAATTTGAACCGCAAAGAAATAAACCGAAACCAAACCGAGCCGTGACTAACCCAAACCGAACCAAACCGACCCGCCAGCTAAACTAAACCGTTTCAATCCGAACCGCTCCAAACCGAAACCGACTCAAACCGAGGTCAAACCGAACCGCCAGACCGAAGTCCCACCCCTAGATGTATACCATTACTCAAAGTGCAAGCACTACATTTTAACACAACATTCAAGCTAAGCATTCTTACTGTCTTCCGGGGTTGGATGGGCGCCTGTGTCCAAAGGTTATCCATTAGCTGGTGAGATTTGGAAAGATCCTAAACTCAACGGTTAACTATTTAACTCAAGCAAGAAATAGCAAGTCATACATGTAATTCCCTTGAAGATATCTAAATTCTTGAAAAAGAAACTACAAATCTGCTAAATGGTCTCCTTACCTCTGTACAACCTCATTGGGTTTAAAGTCCTGCACCATGATCTAACCTGCTAATAGCGCATACGAAGTATCTATCAAAGATAACTGTCTGTGTCGACGTGTAGTGTAGACCTTAAGGGCCACATGGTGTGGCTATACAACCTTTGGCTCGATTGTAAATATGTCTAGCAAATAGTTTCCATACTCTACCATATAGGCATAGAGTATGCATAGAGTAGTTCATATGCTCCCTAAACTTCTCCGTTCTCACTAATATTGTGTACAATATTTTGAACGAATTACATTTCACACACCTCAATTCTAAAGTAGAAACAAAACCTCCCAACTGTAAGAAAAAAAATCCTTAAAAACACTTCCATATCACAATAATATCATAAACATCTTTAACATTATTGGCAAATTTTGAATATTAACATATCATCATCATATATAACACAATTGCATTTAGGTATTCCCCTCCCTTAGACAGAAAATAGAAAGGAGAAAATGCTCAACTCTAATTAAGCGCATAATTGCAATAATTAACCAAAAGGCATCTCCAAAGTCTGTTGAAATTGCTCACAGCTCAAATCAAACGCACAACTGAAATAATTTTTGAATCAAGAGGCAGCTTCAAACACTGTTGGCGATCCTTGTGAAGTCCCAAAGAACCATCTAGCTTGAAGCAAAAGGAAAGGTCTCCCTTCCTGGCCCCGAAATGAAAATGTAACAGCAAATGCCATCCGACCTACCTTATAAATATATTTAGTCTTCTAGAGCACCTCACTTTCAAGACATCAATGTGGAAAAATACTACATAGAGAAAAACAAAAGGGGTATATCAACATATGCAACTGGCTCCATTCCCGTATGCAGATTAAACACAACATTGTAACATGAAGCACCAACCTCTTGTACGACAAATCAGTTGATCTACGTTCTGTGTGATGGAAATGCAAAGCGAATCTACTCCTAAGCATGATTTTCATCATGAGCTTTCTGAATTCCGATCCAGCGTGCATAGTCCACCCACCTAACAGATACAGTAAACATAGCAGAAAATGAGGCAGCCAGATAAGGCAAGATGAATTATAGAGCAGGGATGTGAAGTGAAAAGGAGGATAAAGATATATTCATGAAAGCATAGAGTACACTTACAATAATGAACCCAAGAATGTGTTGCCCGTCCGTACAGCAAAGCAAAGAGCACTTAGCACAAGTTTCTGGTTATGGAACATTGGTTCCAGTATCCGTTGTTCAACAATACCAGCTAAAAATTGATACCTGCATAAAAGAAACATCAGTAACAGGCGCAACAGCCAATTAAAAATATCACCAGTTGAACCTACGGAGTAAATGAATTTGTGATACCCACAACAATACATAATCACAAAGTTAATAGAAACAGATATGTCCTGCTAAAAACCTACAAGGACATACGGGGTATAATATTTTGTGTGTGCAGCAGCCCCCCTTTCCTTGTTCCGCCAGATGTAAACAGACAGAAAGATTTCACAGCAAAAAAAAAAAAGAAAAAAAAAATTCCAAGCCAATACTTGAACGTACCTCAGGTTGCTTGAAACTGCCATATACACACCATAACCCACACTAGTGGATAGTATAGGAACAGTCTCCACTTCATCAGCAGCTGACTTATCAACAGCTTTACGTGCGTTGATCACGGCATTTGTTATGGTTGTACCAACCTGTAAAAAATAAACCCATCATCAAGCTTGTAGCTTCAGACATTCGGTGATCTCTGTAAGGCAATAAAATCACCAATCCGAACAATAACATGTAGGGGCATTGGAGAGGATTTACAAGAGGACATATAAACATAAATCATGTATTATAGACTATAATACAACAGCATGCTTTATGAAGAATGACATGTGAAAGTCAAGAATGGTGAAATTTGCAGTTTTATCCCTTCCAAAAAAGTTAAATGAAAAGTTTCAATGGTGACAAAAAAGCTTAGATATCAAGAATAAACCATAGCCCAAATCCCATACTTCCTATAAAGAAGATGAGCTCATAGTTAGTTGAGAATGATTTTAAGTTACCAATGATTTAGATATATATTGCCAAATATTAAATCCAAGCAATATTTCTGTAGTTAGAGAACGTGCTAGGTTTATCTGAATAAGCACAAAATTCAATAGCATACCAAAGAGGATGTAGTGCCAACAGCAAAAAGCTTTGCCCCATTACGCTGCAAAAAGAGATACATCAAAATGTATCAAATATAGCTTCAGCATGAAACTCTTTTGTCAACATATTTCAATGCTCAAAAAGTTAAAGTAAGATAATACAAACAATGAACTTACCAAAATAGCTCCCATCCTTTGTATAAATGAATACGAAGCACCGCCAAGAGCAATCTAGAAATAGAGATATTTACATCAAATCTGACAAGTAGTACAATAATCAAACACAAGTAATTTTGCACCAACTAAAGACCTGGAAAGCATTATCAGGACAGCTGTGGAAGAACTTTGTAATAGGTCCAGCATTCAATGCAAGAGGTTGCCGGAGGGCTACAGCTGGAGCAGGAAGATAGACGAGCATGAAATCCGCAATGACGGCCATAACCTTTTATAGAAGCAATGAAGTTATCAAAAACTAGTATCAATAAAACACTTGCATGCAAATTCAAAACTGTGAGTCCATGATGAACATGAGTATTCAATTAGCATCACAATTTGACATAGAGCTGAGAGCTCATCTGGCATTCATTACCTATCCTGTCTATAACCCTAGCCTTGGCACCTCACTTAGTAGGGTGAGGGGAGCTGATTAGACTGGTAAATAACTTGATTTACACTGGTAAATAACTTGACCAGCTGTTTCCAATGGCTATTCCAATGTTCAGATATCAAAGAATATGGAGTACAAGATGAGATTAGCAATGAGACTACTGAATTAGTAGGATCATTTTATACGATTCCATCCATGTATACAAATGGATGAAGCCAGGGAATCTTTATTACACATCCCATTTTCTAGATATACTATCAGGTAATCACTTGAGAAAGAAGAAGCATAAACAATAGAGATGAGCATGATACATCAAGTTAAACCAATGGCTGAATGACAAGCAACAGTGAACACAATCAATTGTAGCATATTGCAAATAACATACCACATCTGCAAAAACAACTTCCAATTCGTTGAAGAAATTCTCCTTTCTCTTCTCATATTCTGCAGCAGTCTGAACCCAAAAACAAAATTAAACACAATTATTGATTGTTCAAATGTGTCACATGGTAGTTCACAAGGTACTCAAAACATAGAGACCAAAGAAGAAGATGAAGAGATAAGTGCATCAATAACAAGAAAGAAGATCACAAGAACCAGTAAGCTTTTATAAACTAAGGATCACCTCTTTACTTAGTAGTATAATATTAGGAATTTAGGATTAAAAAGTCAAGCGTAATTAATTATGATGAAAGCAGGACACAATAATATGAAATCAAACATTGACAAAACTTTACAGCCGCATAAACAGATTACCGAGAATCAATCAACAATCAAAGCCTTAATCCCATAAGTGGGGTCAGCTACATGAACCAAATTTGATTATTCCGTGTGGTCGTCCACAAAAATCTTTCTCCTCCAACCCTTACGATCCAAAACCTCATCCTCATGCAAGTCAGATTACCAAGAATGAAAAAGCATTTTATTAAGGAAAACTGATACCCTCTGTTTTTGTCAAAACCATTGGTGGTTACAAATTATGAAATTAGAATAGCAGACTCTGGCTGGGCTCCAATGACAATTATCGAACTACTCAAATTTTCCGATTCAACATATATTATGAATTGACCAGACATTCCTGGGATTACTAATCTCAAGAGCTTAACACAATTTTCTCCTTAAAGTGATATCATGGACACAAATACTAAAGATGCTTCCTTATTTACGCCATTGATAACTTGATATACTCCCTGAGTCCTCGTTTTACTCATCCCCGTACGCCATACATCTAAAAAAAAGTGTGCTTGATCTCCTCATACCATATTTGGATACCTAAAGCACCTCTTTCCACACCAAAAATGTCCAAGTACTTAATTTTCACGCACTAAATGAATTTATTCCCCAAAAAGATATCATCACACTAAAAAAGTAAACCTCCCCACAATCATAAATGTACACTTCCACACTCTCAAAATTATATTACAACATTCTAAAGGAATATATTCCCCAGCATTCAGCTCTAAGGTAGAAAAAAAGCTTCAACCACCGCGAAAACCAACGAAGATAATCCATTAACAAAATAATAACTACCAATACATTCAACATTTCAACATAACATAATGATCAATGCCATGCTTCTAACAATCCTATACTCTGTCAAAATCAGATATATCAGGGGAAAACAATAGTACATTGTCATCAAATTTATTCATAAGTATAAAATTTATTCATCAAATTTATTCATGTCTCAATAAAATAAATTAAGAATTGACGAAGAAATCAAATGCAAGAAGAACAAACCTTAGTGAAGACACCAACACCACATTCCATACCAACTTTGGCCAAAAACAGATCATCAGCCAACAATCTTTCCCTAAACCCTCCGAATTGAAGCAACCATCGCAAAAACGCCGATTTCTCGAGTTCTAGATACTTCCTCACAATCTCCACCGGAATCCTACCTTCTTCAATCGCAGTCGCCAAATCCTTCGGCAAACTATCAACCGATCGTCCGATCTCCGACAACATCAAAAATGCATCCTTCTTATTCTTACTATCACCGGAATCATCGTCATCACCACCTCCACCACCACCACCGCCTCCGCCTCCGCCACCGGAGAATCCGCCGTCGCCGGAAACACCGCCGGAGTAACCGAGAGGGAGAAGTCGGCGAATGTGAGAAGGAGAACGGCGAAGAAGGTTGGAGGAGACGGAAAGAGGAGTGAGTTGTTTTGAGGAGAAAGAAAGCGTTAATGGCGGCGGAAGAAGCGGAGGAGAGAGATTCCGGCGATGGTGAAGGTTGAGGTTGGAAGGTGAAGAGGAGAGAGAAAACGACATGGCGGCGATCGCCATTGTTGAGTTTTTTTCAAGGTTTTTGAATTTTGGAGAGAGAAAACGAAAGGTGGTTTTGTTTGTTTTTTAGGTCTAAAATTTTTAGCTCCAATTTTAATGGAAAAATAAAAGTAAATTAAAGTCAAACTTTGAGGATTCTTAAGTCGTTTGATTAACGCACTTACTATTTTGAGGGTGGTTTAAAGTTTGGAATTAAAGTTCCTCTAAATTAGGTGTGTTATTAGGTGAGACTCTCTTTACTTGTTTAAGAAATTTTTTGGAGTAGAAGTAGTTGCTAGTTAGCTCATTCCTTCAACTATTTTGTCTAGCTTTTTATAGTTTCTAGTTTATGTATAAGTTATATTTTTTGTCGCAAAAACAATCTTTGACATCAGGATTTTCTTACATAATTATCGAAAAAATGGGTGAATAGGTAGTTAGAAATGACCTAAATTATACGAGTAGTTTGTCTTAAATCTAAATTTTCTAGCAAATTCTAAGACAAAAATATATTTGCCCTTTTAGAATTTTAAGTTTTAATTTTTTAGTTTTTATGTGTGTGAGAGCCTATGAGGTGATCAAAGAAATGGTGATACTAACCAAAAAAAAAAAAAATGGCGATAGTAATATTAACCAAATTTCGTAGCCCACTAGTTATGGACTTCTGGTCTATGGGCTCGAAAGCAGTAATCGATTTGGGATGGACTTTACTTTACTCCTAAGTAGTGTGATGAATATGGCCCATACATACCACTGCAAGTCCAAAAGCATTTTAGGCCCAAATTTTCAATCTCTAGAGTAGTCCCATCCAGTCCACAATCTAAATAGTTTTGGAAAAATTGATACCAGTAATTCCAAATCTCAACTACTGTAACCTTGTCGGTCTTCTTTAAAAGATCTCAACTAACTATTAATACAAGACGATCTTAGTTTTAGAGGGTTCATTCACAAAGTGGTTTCTAACAGATTTTTAGGTTTTAAGTTTTTAACAGTTAATCCTATCTCGTATCTTGTTTTTGTTAGGCGTACTTTAAAAAAAAAACCTTTTATCACTCTAAACATCTATCCCTTTCTTTAAGCTCGGTTCTTTTCACCATAAAACAATAATATTTAGTAAAACTAACCATTAAAAATTCAACATGTGATTTGTCCGATCATAATAAGCTAGAAATTAAATTATTTTAATAAGGACTCTTCAATTGATAATTGAGACCTTTTAAAGAAATATGCCCATAAATAGGATTAATGACATTATTTTTTCCCAATTATTTATCTTCTTAATTTTTTAAAAATATATAAATAAAACAAGCAATAAACCACACTGATAGGCAAATCATGAAATACATCCAAAATCATGTCTATTACACACTCACCCACCAAGATATTAAGATAACAAACCATACACTAATGATAGAACATAACACTTGACATGGGTCACATTAATCAAATATGTGGTTCAAGTCAATACACTTCAGTTGTGCACCATGCCAAATGCTAATATTATAAAATTAATGGTCCATCAACAATCACTTGACCCATTCCAAGAGCCAAGATATGAAATGACTTATTGTTTGGTAACGGTTACAAAAGATGATATGGTAATGAGAATAAATTTATATACTTGTATAAATTTAGAAGAAATCCATGTCCAATCTCATGATCACTTGAGATTCTACTAAAGATTGAATGCACTCGAGATGACACCAAATTGTTTATTTTTTTTCATGAATTTCCGTTCTTATTTAATACCACCTCTCAGGTGGTTATGAGTGGTTATAGAAAACGTGAAGAAAACACATATGTAGAGATGAGATTGTGTTCTCACGAATATTATAGTTTTTTTTTCTTACCATACTATATTACACATATCACCTATTACCGTTAATGCAATTTATTATTGGTTACCAAAATGGATTTAGGAGAAGTTCAATGGAAGTTGGAAGAGATGGATGAAGCATGAGCAAAATGTAACCCGCTATAAGTAGTTCTGTAGTTGTGCACAAGATCTTTCTCTTCTACAGTTCTGCTCTCTTAGCATCATCACCAACAGTGAGCAATCGAACTCTACTTCATGAGAGTGTAAACATGCATCACAGCCATATATCACACAATTTTTCTTGACCACATTATAAGTAATAATACTTTCTTCAGTGTTTTTTTACATGTATCACTTTTGTTTTCACGAACTTGACAATTTTTGCTGTGATATCATTTTTTTTTCTTAGGGTCTGTTCTCTTCAGCTTATTTTCAATTCAGTTCAGTTTAGCTCAGCTCATATCAGTTCCTAATTTCCTTCTCATAAAATATTCAGTTCAGTTCTCTTCAGTTCCAATCAGTTCAGTTCAGCTCAATTCAGTAAACCAGAACAAACCCTTAGTGCAGGCTGTAACATATAGGGTAGTTTATAAAAAGGGTAGCATGGACCAAAGGGAGAATGATTTAAGAATTTAAAAAGATTAGTTATGACAAATGGGTATTTTCACAAGCAATAAATAAAGAAAGGAAAATTTAAATATACAAAAATTAAAAAAAAAAAAAAAAAAAAAAAAAAAAAAACCAAATTCATGTGTTATGATTCAGATGAGATTGACAAATAAAAATATATGGTACTCCGTGGCATTTTAATTTCAAACACTAAAAAGGTCAGTGGTTGAATCATTATATTGATCACCACCTTAGGTTCAAGGTTCAAAGTGTTATCATGGAGTATGAAACATCTCCAATAGTGATAACAAAAGATAAGACAAAATTAACAAAGTTATATCTATTCATGTCGAATTGATTGCTCATTGCAACTTATTTTCAGATCTTTGTAAAGATAGCACACGTCTCTATTCACAAACATCATCATCGATATGGTCATTGACGTATGTATATAGGCAATATAGCAAATTAGCAATAAGTAGTGCCATGTACTCTCTCTGTCCTAAACAATAGCCTCATGACCCTATGGCCTATGTACTCTTTTTAGGAAGACGACAAAGGTAAAACATGTGAATTGGTTGAGAAGATAAAGGGACCATAATATAATTTATGAAATTTTACAAAAAAAAACCTCCTTATAAATTCTTATTTGCAAAGTCATACGTTAATCAAAGTTTTTTTTTTCAAAGTCAAACCCTATTTTCTGGTGTTGACTACCCCCAATCCCCAAAGGCCCAAACGTCACTCACAAAATCCCCCTCCCCAACCCCATCCACAAAATTACCCCGTTAGCTCTACCCACGAAACCGCCTCCCCTCCTCATCCCCACCAACGTCGTGAAAAGGGTGGTTTTTTGGGTAGGGCTGGGGAGGTGGTTTCGTGGATGGATTGGGGTAATCAACGCCGAATAAAAGGATCAAATCCCATTTTCCAACATAAAAGTATGATTTTGCAAAAAAATAAAAATAATTATATGGAGGTTATTTAAAAAAAAATAATAAAATAAAATTTATATAAGGAGGTTATTTGCAAAATTTTCTATAATTTATCAAAATAAAATATTGGCTTCCTATATTTATTTATAACTAGCCTTTTGACCCGTTCGATGCACGGATTGTTACTTGGATAAATTATTTTCAAATAAAGGTATACTTTTCATAAGTTGAAACTTTTGATATAGTATGCGAAGTAATAGTTTCATTGCTAAAACTTAAAAAAAAATGGTTAGAGTAGAACTTTGAAAGAAGATGATGGATTAGGTATATATACATGAAGATTGTGGAATATGAAATGACATATTAGTTTAAGTTATATTTTAAGTGTAGGAGATGAAAAGACAATTTTGATTATAATTCATATATTTTATGTAATATGTACAAATTATGGTAGAAATGAAACACTTTATTTTCTTTCTTGAATTTTCAAGTTATAGAATGCATAAAGACTTGAACAAAAAAATTAAGGGAGGCGACATATGGGATAATGAGTGACTTGTGATGACACGTGTCATGTGAAAAATATGTGGTTTGTGTTTTTAAGTATAGAAGTATAGATATAGATGAGGCGAAAAAAAAAAAAAAAACATTCATAGACAATAGGACAATATTAAAGGGATGGATGGAGTATACAACTGTACCTGAAAACATTTATTGAAATTGTTATTTTCATTTTTCAGCATCTACATCCAACTGAGTAGAAAGCTGAGGAATCTCTACTTTGTACATTACACACATATGCACAGTTCCAAAGCTGTTTGGCAGCATTTCAAAATTAAGGACCATCAAAGCAATACAACTTGACATTTGACAACGTTATTAGTTTTATTATATCTATACATCAGAAATTCCGAAGCCAAAGTTTGTCAGTATTTCATTCAGTAGGTAGCATGTCCATCACCAATGTAACATTTTGTCCATATAATAATAACCACAAACCATATATGAGGTGTAAGACCAAATTAGCATGCATTATACACCATGTTGTTGGCCCCTTAAGACGTTGAATTGTGGGTCATGGGCAACCTTCATGGCAAGGGCAAAGTGATGGGCTGTATCGGGTGGGTGGTGCTCGACCCTGGCTCGATCAGGCACTACCCACCGGCCTTCACTGTTCCTCACCATTCCCTTGTTGTGATCTTGTCTCCATCTAGGTGGGACTCCATACTCGCTCTTTAGAAAGTCGGAGTCTTTGTTAACAAGGGCAATATCCCTCTTGTTGGCCAGGCTAAATTTCCTTCCCTTTCCACGGTAGCCATCAACAAGGTGCAGGTGCGCCTCAAGGTTGTGGGCGCAACTTAGGTCCGCGGTGGGCTTGAGGAAAGGTGAATGGGCATGGTCTAAGGCGAGCTCGGTCCCAACATGAGCATAGCTCCAAGGGAAATGGACCGTGTCCTCTAAATATTTTTGTAGCTTGTTCTTCTCATTGGCAATGAGGCCAGGCATAGTAGGGACTTTATCATGGACATTGACGACTCTCAATTGTTTAACTTCTAGCTCATCACACCTTTCCTTGAACTTAAGGTTTCCAACTCTAGGGCTTGCAAAGGAATATACCGTGACTGGTATTTTCTTGGTTTTTTTCTTCTCATCTCGAACGATGTTGAGCCTCATCTCGGCTATGTCATATGCACTTAGTAGCGCGAGGGCTCCCCCTAAGCTGTGCCCTGTCACTGTTATGCTGAGCTTCTCACCTTTGAATCGCTCTACAAGCCGCTTTACCTCTGCAAGGACTTGCTCACGAGCTGAAAATGAGCAA